AAAGGTTATAGGACATTTCGTCAACGATTTTTTGTCCGCGCACCTGTTTTTTCCAGTAATTTACGTTCACGCGTTTTTTCGGCACGGGAGTTTTGGTCCACGTGCCAGTTGAGACCCAAAGTTAATTGGCCCACATGTAAATGCAAACGACCATTGCTCACGACGTTTTTGGATGAAAATGTATAATGTCTTGGAAAAATGAGGGTTTGCTTGTTTTTTTGTTTTGTCTGTTTGATCCACCGGAGAGTAATATACAGTTGAAAGTTTTGGTAAAAATGGGGAGGCGTCAATTCCATGAGAAAAAATTCACTAAAACTCTCTACACCTCTTTGGTGTAACAGGACTTAATTATCTTTCAAGAAATTCCCACCTTTTTATACCTGAACCGGATAAACCTCTATATTTGCCTCAGCTAAAGGCTCTTAGATTTTTCTGGTGTGCGATAAGTTTCTTGATTTATTTTGCGAGGAAAGATCTGTACTTTTAGAGGATGCCTGCAATTCTAGATACGTTCAATTTTGTATAATACTGTGCAACACCTCTGTTGCGAGATAGTTGCTTCAGGCGCCGCCACACGGCGGGCGGACGGCCAGCGCGAAACGCGCATTGGCGCCTACAAACCTAAGTGGATACTTCAAGCATTATGCAATGCGTGAAGTATCCACTTAGGTTTGTAGGCGCCGGTGAACCTCTCGCGCTGGCAGCACGCCGCGCCGCTTCGCTCTGTTAGGCTTTAATATTTATACTCGCATAGTCAGCGTTTTTTAACACATGATTTTGAAATGTTTGCACACTCTGCATTGATTACTCTCATTTAAATTGATGGGGAAAAAATATGTATCAATTTGTCAAAGATGATTCATGACATATATAATGTGTGTTTGTTAAATATTGGTGGTTCCGTGTCAAATTTAATGATTTCCAAAGCACTTTAATTTTTTCTTTAACGTTTTGTGCTTTGATTGTGCTGCAGCGAGGTGTACGCGCAACCAAACGCTCAAAATTTGACGTATTTGACTCTAGAAGATCGATGTACAAATGGGTTAAAACTAAAGATTGCGTACTTCTTGGTTTTTTTTCCCTCTTTTATTCATTTTTGCAGTTTCTGTGGGCACAACTGCGGCTCATTGAGAAATATGTCGCTTGGAAAAGGTCTTACAAATATTTGCCATGTTTTAAAAATATAAATGTTTTCAAAATGAAGTAATAATTTCGTAAAGAAAAAATTTAAAAGAATAAAAGAAAAAGTACCTATACATGCATAAGGTATATTTTACATTCAATGTTTTAAGGATAGAAATAAAACCAAATATTCACCAATGACAATTTGAAGGCATTATGACTGGCCTAACTCACCTTATATTCGTCTATAACGATAAACAATGGGACGCGCTTGCTACGGCGCCTTGATACAACTATACAACCTCGACGGATGTCCGTATTGCGTTCAAAAAGTTGAAGGCGTTTTGACTTCCTACGCATAATGCCTGTAGTTGATTCGATCGACAAACGCGTTGGTCGGCGGTGACGGGGACTTGATGCAACTATTCAAGCTTGTTGGATGTCCGTTTCGGTCCGACTGAAGTGCGAAACCACGTATCTCGATTGCGGTGTTTCAAAATTTCCGTTCTTAATTCATCTCTTCCATGAGAAACAATCCAAATTTACGACTTTAAATTTTGAACCAAATCTTCTGCTATCGAATACGAAAAATCATGAAGAATTTCAGTCTTATGTTGACCAGTTTCTCGAAAGAAAAATAAAATTTCCAAGGAAGTCTGCAACGTCGCAAATGGAGAAGCGTCGTCTCTCATTTTAACCAAAAATATGTATGTATAAAATTGAAGGCATTATGACTGGCCTCTCTCAACTTATATTCGTCTGTAACGATAAACAATGGGACGCGCTTGCTACGGCGCCCTGATACAACTACACAACCTCGACGGATGTCCGTATTGCGTTCAAAAAGTTGAAGGCGTTTTGACTTCCTACGCATAATGCCGGTAGTTGATTCGATCGATAAACGCGTTGGTCGGCGGTGACGGGGACTTGATGCAACTATTCAAGCTTGTTGGATGTCCGTTTCGGTCCGACTGAAGTGCGAAACCACGTATCTCCATTGCGGTGTTTCAAAATTTCCGTTCCTAATTCATCTCTTCCATGAGAAATAATCCAAATTTACGACTTTAAATTTTGAACCAAATCTTCTGCTATCGAATACGAAAAATCATGGAGAATTTCAGTCTTATGTTGACCAGTTTCTCAAAAGAAAAATAAAATTTCTAAGGAAGTCTGCAAAACTGTTGATGCAACTATTTAAGCTTGTTGGATGTCCGTATCGGTCCATTGTACGATAAACGATAAACATGGGCGCTAATAGCAGCTCTGAGGGAAACCTCTGGAACGTGATTCCTTCTCCATTTCATGGATCGATACCTCGTTTCCGTCTTTCCATTGGTCAACCATCGAATCGCGAATCGTTANGGGGGGGGGGGGGGGGGGGGCTAACTCACGGCACGGACTTTCACGCTCAGCTTCCCGCGCTTTTTAAAAGCTCCCTTGAATTTATTTATCCTCACTCTGGCGGCTGAGTTTATGAAGTCTTGGGTGGAAAACAAAAAGGCGTGTTTACTGTCCGAGAAAACTATCGTTAATTTCCTTTTCTGCCTGTTGGATAAACCGGGCTCTTTAAAA